TTTTGGTTCAAGATCTCAAATCACTTTTGGTTCAATTAAAGTCATATAAAGGTACTGAAATTGCTTCCTGGTAATGGCAGCGCAGGAGCATGTTTAATAGATCAAATACTGACTATGTATTCCAAAGAAACTGTAGATGTTAATGATCTTAAGTTCGTTCTTTAAAAGGTATTAGTTAACAGGAATATTATCAATTAAGAAACCAGTGTTTAATCTAAGTTCAGATTAGTTTGATTTCAAAATCTCTTTAACAGTTTTAACATTGATTCGAATGATTGGGTTGAATTACTTTCAGAAATTGGCATTGTCCTAAGCTTTTTATTAAAAGAAAAGTCAACTATAAATCTATAATAATTTAGTTTACATAAAAAATTAGTTAAAGAAAATAAATGAATAGATTTATTACATTTTAAAGAACTAAATAAAAAATTATCATTTTAAATAAAAATAATAATATTCATGATTTATATTAAAGTCACATATTTATGACTTAATATAAAGATTTATATTAAATATATTAATATGATATTATTGTGGTTATATATTAAATATTTATGATTTATATATTATTTTATATTATTAATATTTTTGATTTTCATGGAAATTTGAAATATAATATAAAATATAAAAATCATACTCGTATGTAAAAATTTAACAATATTAACGTTTATGCATTTATAAATATATTATTTTAATTATTATTATGGAAAAGTATTATTCATTTGCATTTTGTGCTCTTTCATCAACTTTTGCTTACGAAGTCGTCGAAAAGTTGCACTACAAATAATAATCTTAAATCCGGATATTCGAAGACTTCGGATTTACAAAAAATCCGTTTTTTTCAGCTCAGGCGACTTCGTTGCTATCCGATCAATCAAATAATCGAATACCAGAGGTTTTTGAAATTTTCGAATATACAGTACTACTTCATGGCATATGAAATATACAGCTTCATGAGAGGCTTTGGTAAGGTTCTACACACTGATCTGTAATAGAGACAATGTAGTCATAATGAGAAAGATTACTGACACAGATATAGAGTTTTACGTTTTTTTAAGATCTATGGATTTGTCTCACTTAGATAGATATCAGAAGTTACTTACAAAGGAGACACGACAGTCCTTTGTAAGTGTGGAAGTTCTTCGGTTACTTTTGAGTCCCTTATGGGTAGCTTACCTGACCAGTTTTGTCTTCTTTTTCTGCGTAGTGTGTTAAAGCTTACTAGAATACATCACTGTAGCTCTCTTAATAATGCTTCTGGCTGATTTCGTTAGGTAACTTGTCAACCACTTAACCCTTATTGTTTATAACTGTTAGGTAAACTGAATTTTTGTTATAAAACTATTAAGTTGAAGAGTACTTGAAAAAAACCTCAATTTAACAAGGAATTAAGTGAAATAGTGAAGGGCGTACTTCTGCACTACTTTCGGCTGTGACCTAATAATTGCTGTTAGTTTTTTTAAGTACTTTTTTTTATTGAAAAAAATTTGATCGCGTGGATAAATTACTGTTTGAAACAATGAGTTACGTAAGAAATTAAATTGTTTAATTTTTGCAACAAAAAATACATTGTGAATTCACAGTATAGTCGACTTTAACGCTTAGAGCTACCATTATTTCTACAAGTGGAAGTATTGCTGTAATCGAGATGCAACTGAATGGAAACTGTTTTGTAAAAATAAAGAAGAAGAACAAACAAAAAAAAAAAAATTTGTGCAAAATTTTGCGTACCATTTGGGAAAATAGTAGCATTTTCCCACGGTTGTATTTAAAAGTAGTAAAATTTGAAGTTGCGCAAATTAAAGCACGACATGAAATATTTACAATTTCATCAAAAATGATTAAGCGGAAGCAAAGTTTAAAAAATATTTTAGGGAAAAATTCAGACTTTATTATATAAAAAATATTTAACTATATTAAAAAAAAAAATACGATTAAATAATTTCATTTAAATAAGCATGGAAAAATGTTTCAAGCTCAGCTTCATAACTTACAACTTCGGTTTTAGATGTAGGAAATTAAGTCATTTTAGAGTAAATGCGATTGTTTTCGTGTGGAAAAAGGCTAGTAAAAGTGAAAGTGTTTAACTTAAACAAAAAAAAAAATTTTTTTTTCGTACTAAAAATGATTACGATTTGACCAGGAGCTACATTGTGTCTTCCACTGCAAAACTTTAGACACACAAAACACCGTCTACCGTAAACTGAACTCTTTGGAACTGTGAAGTAAACTCACATGCAAAGTTCGGATTCACGTATGGGCATACTTGGTTTATTTTTTAGCTTTTACTATTTCACACGAATTAATTAGTATTATTAAAATTTAAAAATGTACTTAATTTCAAAACAATCAAAAAAACTATAACAAGAAAATGTATGATGCAATAAGTAATTATGATGCTAATTTGTTTAATTTGTTTAATTTTTGAAATGTTTTGTCTTCAGTTTTTTTGGTTTTTTTAAAATTATTTTTGTTTTTTTTTTATAATTCGAACGTGTTTAATTGCACAATTTAAACTCTTTCAAGTTTTTTTTTTTTTGTGTTTTTAACAACAATTAAAAAAATTAAATCGTTACTTTACCTGCTTAAAAGCTAATACTAAACATGTTTTGTTTGAAATAAAAAAAAAAAATCATATAAATGTTTATAAGTGTTTTTAATGAATAAGAATAAATATATATTCATAAAAAAAAATAATAAAACAAAAAAAAATATAGTTTTGGTTTTGGCGAAGCTTCAGTACCCTTCACTTTTACATTTATTACGTATTAGTTATTATTTATATCACTCACATAAGATTAATATTTATTTTCTTCAATACACACGGATCGATCTAGATCCAATAAGATTTGGAAAAAAAAATGGAAAAAAAAATATAGCGCTTACATATATTTTGATTCACAATAATCTTCTTCCGAATCAACATAATCGTTGGAAATGTTCAATAAATTTTTCGAAATATTTTTCATAATTATCAGCCGGACTGACCATTCGTAGTAATATTCTTTATTATAAACAAGTTATTTAAATTTAAAAATTTAACTTAAATTTACAGTAAATTTACACATTAACATTATACATTAATACATTAATAAACGGTGGCAACTTAACTCTTTGGAAGATCTCTTTCTAGAGGATCTTGATCAATTGCAAGATCTGACACTTAATAGCATTTTAGGCTTCCCTAAAGGTTCTAGGTGGTTTTAAACCACGAGTTATTCTTACATATACAGTAACACAATGGATCAATATGCCTAAGTGTGATCCATCAGGGATCGACGGTATAACCTAACCTAACCTACATTAACTAAAATTAAGTGTAACCTAACCGAATTAACATAAATAGTTTTTGATTATTCATTATACGGCTATGGCTTTCGCCGACAATCGGAAGTTTAGATTCATCTTTAATGACTTTTCTTCATTGCAGTAAATATCATATAAATGGAACATTTCAAGCTTCAAGCTATGGATATTTAATTAAAATGCCTCTAATATAATATTTTTTTTATAAGAAATTGCCATTTTCACATAAATCGATAATCATTGACTTGTTCCTACCTAACATTTGTTTTCAGAAATAGTGTACCCGTAACTTCATTAAAATTGAATATTTAATAAGGAAATGTATTACATTTTCCTTTTCTCCAGTATTGATGACTTTGTGGGATTATGAATTATGGTGCAATTGCCTGACTTTCAATATTCTTTCCTAAAGTCCCTAATAATATTTTGGGTTCACCATCTATAAGATAAATTCACTGCGAACTGTTTTATTAAAATTGAAGAAAACATCATTGTCTTGAGTTTGTGTTTCTGAAAGTGATCGATTTTAATGCTGCACTATTGCGAATTCACAAAATCTTTATCCATTCACAAAAGATGATTTTTAACCCGTATTTTTATGAAATGTATAATCTTTCTTATCAAAATGTTTGACTGGACACTACTTTAAGATTTGTTTCACTATAAACACTCGCGGTAACCTTAACGGAGACCGACCATTAATCGTCACTGTCGATAACGGGCCTGATCATTTGAATGTGTGAGTTACTATATGACCTGCGCATTAAATAAGTTAAATTATTTCGTTTATTTATGAATTGATCAATAGGGATAGTTTCCTTATCAAAGAAGGAGATATTTTGCAATCAGTTAAATATCCATAACATCAACATTTTCTATGTTGCATCTTACCAAGTTTTGGTTTCTTTTAAGGTCAGTAAATAGACTCCCTTGGAACTAGTTTTTAAGTTTTCCTTCCGATAAGGTTAGCGAAAACATTTATTTATTTGTTATTGTTGATCCGTTTTTATTGTTGATTTAATTCTTTTTCGATTAATAACACAGTATATCATAATACTGTAATTTCCCTAATAATCTATTATCTTTTATAGTTCGGGGACGAAAAACGTTATAGTAGTTATTTATAGGTTTCCGCTTAAATGACCAAGTAGTGTTGTCACCGTATTACGTTTGACTTCCATTAGGTATAAGAATTTTTTTAAAAAATTGAGATGTAACTACTATCTGGTCTGCTCAAAAGTTAGATTAGTTTGAAGTTGGATTGCCCTCAATTGGGTCCCCCAGTACTAAGATTAAGCAGAATTAAAATACTGAACTTTAGAATAACGAAGTCACATGCATTTATTCTCTTCTGCACTAACTTTGCGCTTTTATAGTATCTAACAACCATGGTAATGGATTACCCTTGGTAGAATAAATTCCAGATTTAGAATCTACTACAGCTTCGATTTAGTTAAGTTTTTTATTTCAGAAATTTATGGAACTTGTACAGGTTGTAGCGTTATGAAAAGTGTGAATGGATCTTCAAGTAAATTTTAATGAGATCAAAATCGGTGAATTGATTAAAACGAGTAGATCCATTTATGGGTACTTCACATTAGAAAATAGTATTGTATTGAAAAATATTTACTTACATTTATTAATATAAAAATTTAAAGTACATTCATTTGATTTAAAAAAATAAAAGTTGCAGGATTTTTATTTAAAAAAATATATAAATTGCTGATCTTTAGGTTGTGTAGAAATATACATTTATGTTTGACTTAAATATTTGAAGATTTGAAAATTGTGTCGCCATGGATTCCACTAGTTGCGAAGTTACTCAAAATATCTGTTAGGAAATGGAAATTTATTTAAAGAAATGAAAAATCACTTTCCTCTTACCAATCGGTATTAGGACCTGGAATCTTGCTCCATGGAATCCTGTCATGTTACAAAGCGTTATTAACTGCTTTAACAAAAAATAAATAAGCATTGTGATGTTGAAAAGGTGAACGACACGGCACTTAAGTTTTTTAAAAATTTTGTTAAGAATCTATATATATTAAATAAATGACAGTTTAAAAAATAAAAAAAAAATGAATAAAGCACTTACCAGGTCCTCACCTCCTTAATAACAGTTTAATCAAATACTTTAGCGTTCATTTATTGATCGTTTTCCAACTGCTCATTATTATCGTTCATCAGCTTCTTGAGCTCCTCCATAGCTCGGGTGTAGCTCCCCTTTTCCATGTTCTTGCGTTTCTGTAGGAATTCAGGGTTTGGAGGTTTCTCCTCAAAGCACTCAGAATTGCAGCTGGATGCTTCAGTGGACATGGTACTTGTAAGACACATTTGCTTGTGAGAGCAATTCTCAATCTTAAATTTAACAGTAGCCTTGCGACGGTTAGTTTGGTCTTTTTTCTTGAGTCTACGACTTAAACGAACCATGGTTATTACAAAATATAGCCCTTTAAATTTCAAAAATTTTGAGTTTAATCAGGAAGCTTTAAATTTATTGAACTCAGAAGTTCAAATCAAAAATATAAAACGTATTTGTACGAAATTTTTATATATTATCTTTTTGTCATTTTGAATTAAGAAATCTTTTAATAGCATTTTAAATATTTCAGTTTCAAAGAAAGTGTGATTGTTTACAATTGTAGGGTTATCACCAGATCATCTTATCTTAATTGGTGAAATTTAAAATTTTAGTGTAATTTCCGATTATACTCTCTAGAGCCTATTTAGTCCTAGTGGGTGCGATAGTTAGTAACTAAAAGTTTTAGGTGCTTTGTCTTTGTCGGATGATCACTGTATAAGTAAGATTTGAAATACGTACTCTCCCTGTCATACTATTTAAATCTTTAAGAATACTGTACTTGCACCCTGTTCAATTAAAACTAATGTGATGATCGTATTTATTAGAGTTACTGCTCTGGAATGTCGAATATAACTGTAATTATAATGTATTTTATTGTATAATGCATTTTATTTATATTTAAATTGATTAGTATATTATATAGAGCAGTATAGTTATTAATTATGGCTAAGCTTAATCATCAACATAGATATTGGTAGGGTTTAGTATAGTTGTTATATACTTTTGTAGCTATATTTACACCGGTATCCTAGGTGTTATTGCACATGGCATAGCTTTGTAATCATGTTTTCGATTACGAGGGCATGACAGTGACAAAGTTCCAGTTTGGTTGAGAAAATTGGAGGTTTGAGCATAAAGTAAATATTTCTGATTTTCATTATCAAATCGACTTTCTATTATGTGAGTATATGTAATATATGTAGTACACTTGTTATTGTTTCTGTAACTGAATTACATCAACAATTTATCTTATTATCTGTACCTGTAGATAGATTGCAGGCTAGCTAATGTAATAATCGATAAAACAAAAAAGGTTAAGTGGAACTGCATATTTACACGGGTTTTAATCAACTAAGTACAGGGGCTTACATTGACATACGTGAATAATATCTGTAGTACGTGTACCTTCCGTAGTTCTTGTTCTCTTTTTAAAATAAAATTAACATTTCATGAGTATTAAATTATTGTTGATAAACAATTTGTTTACAGTTTAAGTGTATTACAAACACTCAAAATAATTATGTTCGTAATAATTATTAAAATTATAAATTCATATATAAGTATAATCATACAAGTATTGCTTATAATAATGTTATATGCATGGACATTTCTAGTCGAACCAGTTGGCTTTATAGTCCAAATAGGATTAAACTAAGAAATGGTTGATTCTTGTAAGATGTTTTTGTTGTTATTTCCTAATTTGTACATAACAATCATATAAAAATCATATACAAATATTAGTATTATTTACAATATTGTTATATGTATTGGTATTCCTTCGGTTACCACATTTAAGTACGCAGAATGCTTTTTTACCAGAAGGAATTTGTGCATAAGATGATTCCTTGCTAAAAGAAATATGAAAAAAAAACATTGGGTAGAGTAGTCCATTTTTAATTTAATCGATATAAAGGATGCAAAGTAAAAGCCTATCGTCATAATAACCTCAATATCTCAAGAACAACTTATGTGTATAATTAACGTCAATTTAAATATTCCTTAAAAAAAATAATAATTTAATCAGAATCAAATCATTTTTATTAATATTTTTTCTTAAACTCGTAGTTTTTTTAAATACTTTTATCGAATAAGTCCTTATTTAAGAAGCATCGTCTATAAAATTCCATAATTAACATATAAAATCTGAACTGCTAAAAGGAGTTCAAAGTATTTTACTAACCAATTATTTTTAAATGGCTATATAAGGTCTGTATGGTTGATTATATAGAGTGTCAATTTTAATATATTCGATATCAACTGGTTCATTATAATGTTTCAAATAACTGTACTGATCATTGCTTTCATGTAAACTTAATGAGAAAAGTGCATATGAAAATATTATGAAAACAATATTTTTTTATAAACTTCAAAAAAGAAATTTTATACAATAGTTTTAACTACTTCGAATCAGAGGGTACAAAATATATGTAAAATTATGTAGGAAAGACATAAGAACTTTTTTATATTTTTTTTATTATTAAAAACTTTTTTCGTGAATTCGACCAACAGCCGGTACTGTGTCTTAGTCTACCAATTTCACTATTGATTACACAAAATCCTTTAAAACTTTGTGAATAAAGTCCAGAACTAAATCTAAAGAAGAGCTCTTAATCTGTTCTGAATAAGTCTCTTCTGTGCATTGTTAAAGGTGGACAACTACAAAGAATATGCATAGTTGTTTTCTCATCTTCGAGACATAATCTGCTTTCTGAATTAGCAGATAATCGAAGTTTATATAAGTAATATTTCAGACCATTCTGAAAACCGTTTGAAACCTTGAATTACATTTTAAGAATTAAAGAGTGTTTTTGTAGGAGTACGGTTTTATGAGTACTTTGCTTTATCTAAGTACTAGCATATCTTCCCAAACGATTCTCCCTTTTCTCGATTATTTGTTTTTTCTTGGCTTAGTTTAACCCAAAAAAAGGTTCAGGTCCTGTAAAAGCAATTTTTGATGTGGGTCTGCTTAGCTCATCAGCTTGTTAATTTCCCAAAACTCCGCTGTGATCCGAAATTCAGTAAAGACTTATAAACTACAAATAACCGTAGAAGCTCGTAACACTCGAGGACCTGTTTCGACTTGTATGCCCAAGAAAACAGAGCCTTAAGAGCAGCTTGACTGTCAGAGTTGGTTCCATATACACCAGCATCAATGTCTCTATCCATTTTTGATCCCTCTGCGTACCATACCAAACTTTTTGGGTGATTCTGTAGCCCTCCGTTATCCTATGCTAAACGTGATGTAGGCACCTCAAATTTTCTGTCAAAATGATGGACTTTTGTTATATAATCCATATTGCACTGAGGAATTTTATGTGCTTCAAATGCTCTTAGTATTGTTTCATGACAATAGCCAAGACCAACCATGTTCATGTGGAGTTTTAATCGGAACACACTAAGCGCAGTCGTTGATTAAGTATGTATGTGCGGATTCTATAATAATATAATAAGCATTTGTATTATATTGTTTTTTCTGATTAACATGAAACTACATTAAGACCGAAAAGTTTTCGGAAATTCTCATTTAAAATTCGCGCGCTGTATATTTTTCGATATTTTAAGTTTATGTAGTTTGGCAGCAATTAAGGACAATTACTATGCCAAAAATGAGCGCGATCTGTCAGACAGTTCGTTTACGGCAGCTGTTGAAACCAGTTCACCTCAGTAGAGCGTTGCGAAAAAAACAATGGAAAAAAATATTGAACAAAGAGTTTGCATCAAATTTTGTGTTTCGAACGAAATTTCGTGTGCAGAATCGTTGCGAATGCTACAAAAGGCTTATGGGGAATCAGTTTTATCGAAAACTCAAGTTTATGAGTGGTACAAGGCCTTTCAGGACGGTCGTACGCCGGTCGAAGACATTTCGCAACGCACTACTGAGGTGAACTGGTTTCAACAGCTGCCGTAAACGAACTGTCTGACAGATCGCGCTCATTTTTGGCATAGTAATTAATGACAGTGCTGCCAAACTACATAAACTTAAAATATCGAAAAATATACAGCGCGCGAATTTTAAATGAGAATTTCCGAAAACTTTTCAGTCTTAATGTAAATATATTGCAATCACTCTTAATATTGGAAATTATCCTGATGAAGGCAAAAACGAATTTGCCGAAATACGTATAGAATTATAGTAAAAATAATGATCGAAATAAAAGCTAAAATTCTTAAAAAACAATACCGAGAAAAAAGTAGTAGAGCACCATGTCCGGGAAATACGGTGGCTGAGATATGATGGTGATATTGTTCTTAGTCAAAAAAATTTAGCATAAGCAATTATAAGTATAACCTGTTTTCATAATATTTCTTTATTATTTTTTTCAATTTATATAATTAATTAAGCTCTTTAAAGTAATACCTTCAGTGAAATACCTAAACTCTGGTGAAAAACTTCTTTCACTCTAAGGGTTATTTCAGTTTTCTGACAAATATGTTACATGTCAGAGGAATTCATGGCGAACGCAGTTCATCTAAGTCATTTGGAAAGTAGTTTTATTTTTAAAGTTGATGTCTCTTGTTAAATGTGACGCGTCTTATGACGAAAAGAAACTAGAAGGATTCGAACAGATGTCTCTACATAAGAATAGTAGAATATTCCTCAAGATCACATATGATGAGTACTCGAAACAGCGTTGTATGGTCAGCCAAATTTCAATAAATTAATCAAATTTTTGTTGTTGCTTCTTCATTGCTGTTCAAACCCTTCTATATTAATTTTTGTTCTATAAAACTTGAAGATGATTTTCTTATGGATATATATATATCACTGAGATATATATTATTGATGCATATAACATTCGCTGGGTAGTATAATTTCATATTTATAAAGTTGTCAGAAACAAAATTGTAATGAAAACCTTTTTCGTGAATAGATGAAGAGTTTTTAGATTGAAATTTTAGCAACAATGGATTTGTTTCTCGACTGGCTCACAATTATAGTTAAAGTTATGAGCTATAAAGCGTTCTATTAAAAATTGAATATGTATATATGTGTTCTATCATTTTTTCTGTTCGCACTCTAGATTCAGACTGTAATTTTGAAAATTCCAAAGAAATTCACAAAAATGAAGATTTAAATAAGTCAATGTGTACGTCTCTACTCTAGATATACAGATTTCAAATCCGAGTTTTTTGTGTACATCTGGACCGTTTCCCGCATATGCATATTTTCCAGCATATTGTAACCAGTTTTTTGTATATCCATTGCAAAAATGCTTATATTAATTTATGTTAGATGGCGCGCGTTCTTTTAGGTGATTTTGCAAAAATCTGAATATATCGAAGAGTGAACTATATTCGCATATACCACAGTGGAAAAAGTTACTTAAAATAGTTGATTCTATTATAATTCGTTTGAAAATAGATGTGCCCGGGAATTTCGAATCATGGCGTTATTATTAATTAAAGGCAAAAATATTAATT